AGTTTACCTAGACAGATGGTCAGCACAAAGAAGTCTGACCAAATGGGTTGCATTATATCTTTTTAGCAGAAATACACTTTTAGCTTATGAAAATCAGCTTTGAACAACATTAGAGATATGCATTCAACTAAGTGGGGAGGTTGCTTAATACCAACTTTAGTTTTAGATTCAATAACATGTATTCCCACTCAGTAGGGCTGAAACAGCAGTCATGTTAGTGTAGAGTACTGAAGCTCTACATCAAGCCACCAGTTGGTGACGCAATATAAATTCCCTGACCGGGAATCGAACCCGGGCCGCAGCGGTGAAAGCGCTGAATCCTGACCACTAGACAATCAGGGACATGTTTCTAACCTTTTTAGTAGGGTTTTCACATCATGTCTGTTAATCAACAATGTGACGTGAAGCTTTGCAATATGCTCCTCAAGTTAGATGAGTGTCTGTCGTCATCACATTAAAATAGAGACAGTTGAACCACATGTATTGAGGTAAAGTAAGAGATGATTGTGTTCTAAAACCTTTCCTTTCACTAAATTCACAAAAAGTCATTGTCATGGTAGGGATAAAATGGATTTTCCTTAAACACAGTTGTCCGGCTTTGGATTCCAACGCAGGATTTTGATTCCCTTTGGCATACACTGGATGATAGGTCAATAATGCCATGACCTACAAAACATTTCTTCAGCAAAATACCACTAAATTGTATCAATTTGATAGACTGTCTACCCAAAAAAACTACTGTTCAAGAGACATAGTAAAGACCTACCGCTCTCCACCCATTACTTTGCATCGTGTGAGTTGTGAAAACCTACCGTAGCTCAAGAAAGGACAACTTTATCCAAATATCAGATCCCAAATGCATTGTTAAACAAGTATCAGAACGGAAAAGAAAAGAATTGAAAAGATGTCATGTTACACTGAGGGTTGACAGGTCGTAGTACACAAGTTGTCACATTAAACAACAAACCGCCTTAGACATAAAACAGGGCAATATCTGGACTAATAACGTAGTCAGTTGGGCTTGGGAGATGTGATTGAGTGGTGTGCACAGGTTGTAACCTCATTTACCAGGAAGAGTTTACCTAGACAGATGGTCAGCACAAAGAAGTCTGACCAAATGGGTTGCATTATATCTTTTTAGCAGAAATACACTTTTAGCTTATGAAAATCAGCTTTGAACAACATTAGAGATATGCATTCAACTAAGTGGGGAGGTTGCTTAATACCAACTTTAGTTTTAGATTCAATAACATGTATTCCCACTCAGTAGGGCTAAAACAGCAGTCATGTTAGTGTAGAGTACTGAAGCTCTACATCAAGCCACCAGTTGGTGACGCAATATAAATTCCCTGACCGGGAATCGAACCCGGGCCGCAGCGGTGAAAGCGCTGAATCCTGACCACTAGACAATCAGGGACATGTTTCTAATCTTTTTAGTAGGGTTTTCACATCATGTCTGTTAATCAACAATGTGACGTGAAGCTTTGCAATATGCTCCTCAAGTTAGATGAGTGTCTGTCGTCATCACGTTAAAATAGAGACAGTTTAACCACATGTATTGAGGTAAAGTAAGAGATGATTGTGTTCTAAAACCTTTCCTTTCACTAAATTCACAAAAAGTCATTGTCATGGTAGGGATAAAAAGGATTTTCCTTAAACACAGTTGTCCGGCTTTGGATTCCAACGCAGGATTTTGATTCCCTTTGGCATACACTGGATGATAGGTCAATAATGCCATGACCTACAAAACATTTCTTCAGCAAAATACCACTAAATTGTATCAATTTGATAGACTGTCTACCCAAAAAAACTACTGTTCAAGAGACATAGTAAAGACCTACAGCTCTCCACCCATTACTTTGCATCGTGTGAGTTGTGAAAACCTACCGTAGCTCAAGAAAGGACAACTTTATCCAAATATCAGATCCCAAATGCATTGTTAAACAAGTATCAGAACGGAAAAGAAAAGAATTGAAAAGATGTCATGTTACACTGAGGGTTGACAGGTCGTAGTACACAAGTTGTCACATTAAACAACAAACCGCCTTAGACATAAAACAGGGCAATATCTGGACTAATAACGTAGTCAGTTGGGCTTGGGAGATGTGATTGAGTGGTGTGCACAGGTTGTAACCTCATTTACCAGAAAGAGTTTACCTAGACAGATGGTCAGCACAAAGAAGTCTGACCAAATGGGTTGCATTATATCTTTTTAGCAGAAATACACTTTTAGCTTATGAAAATCAGCTTTGAACAACATTAGAGATATGCATTCAACTAAGTGGGGAGGTTGCTTAATACCAACTTTAGTTTTAGATTCAATAACATGTATTCCCACTCAGTAGGGCTGAAACAGCAGTCATGTTAGTGTAGAGTACTGAAGCTCTACATCAAGCCACCAGTTGGTGACGCAATATAAATTCCCTGACCGGGAATCGAACCCGGGCCGCAGCAGTGAGAGCGCTGAATCCTGACCACTAGACAATCAGGGACATGTTTCTAACCTTTTTAGTAGGGTTTTTACATCATGTCTGTTAATCAACAATGTGACGTGAAGCTTTGCAATATGCTCCTCAAGTTAGATGAGTGTCTGTCGTCATCACATTAAAATAGAGACAGTTTAACCACATGTATTGAGGTAAAGTAAGAGATGATTTTGATTCCCTTTGGCATGCACTGGATGACAGAGTATAAAGAGTTCACCTAATGAGATGGTCAGTACGAAAAGTCTGACCAAATCAACACATGGGTTATATCTATATCTATATATATCTATCTATCTATCTATCTATCTATCTATCTATCTATCTATCTATCTATCTATCTATATATATATATATATATATATATATATATATATATATATATATATATATATATATATATATATATATATATATACATATAAATATATTTTTATATTTTTTTACAGAAATACAGTGTGGTGCAGAGGATGGAAGGTTTTTTCCATGATGGATGAAGCTTGGACAGCACCCTCCTCTCAGCCACTTCCTCCACTGAGTCCACAGTGCAGCCTAGTATAGAAACGGCCTTTCTCACCAGTTTTTTTGGTGTCTTGTCTGTCCCACTCTGCGCTGCCAGGGGCTCAGCAGACGACAGCGTAGAGGAGGGCTATTGCCACCACAGACTCATAGAAGTTTTTAAGCAAGGGCCTGCTTAATCCAAAGGACCTCAGCCTCCTCAGGAGGTGGAGGTTGGCAAGTTATTTTTATGTTAAATTATCAGCAAGTAATAGCATTGATGCCTCTGGCCAGACTTGGATTTAGGAAATTTGGGGCCCTCGGCAAATACAGGCAGGGTTCCCTCTGAATTGAGAAGACAAAACATAAAACAGACCCATTATACACATGCAGATATTTTTATAGAATAGGTACACATTTTTGTTCTAGGTTTATTCTGTCTCTGCTTATCCCTTTTCTTACTGTTTTCCTCTATATTTTCTTTTGTCCCTTTTTTCATATTGACAATGTGCTCAGCTGACTTTTCATGCTGTCTGAAAAGAAATCAAAGATTTTCTAAAAACTAAGCCCATTCTAACTTAGCTGATTGCTCCTTCCTGTGTTTCCAAAAAGGCAACTCCAAAAGTAAATAACCCAGTCTGTTCTCCATTTTTCATTTGGATGAAATAATAGCTGCATGAATCATAACAACAGACAAGATAGAGGAGAGCAGGAGGCGGGGTTACCAATCTATTTGCTCTGGAGAGCAGAGTTCGATGCTTTTAGATGTTGTAACTAAAGTCTCCAGTACCAAAAGAAAGTTGCTATATTTGGCGCAAGGCACTTTTTTGAAATCAAAGTTCTAGAGGGGTCTGAAAAGTCGCTATATATAATATAGCGACAAAAGTTCTAAGTTGGCAACACTGCTCTTCGCACTGTTTATTTTCAAATGGTTTGCTGCTGTCTGTTTGGACCTTTCTGCACATGTGCAGGAAATGGACTGATCCAACGTGGGGGACAGTGAAGGGAGGAGACACTTGATATTATAAGCATTATGATGGAATTTTAATGAAAGGATTTTTATTAAAAACATAATTAATATGCACAAATAAGGAATAACTGTGTAAGCCATACATTTAAAAGGAGTTTTATGGGGCCATGAAACTCCTTTTACTGCAGATGAATCAACAAATGCAGACGGATTAATCTGCAGTAAAATGAGTTTTATGGGGCCCCCAGGAATTTGGGGCCCAAGGCAACTGCCTAGTTTTGCCTAATGGTTAATCCCCTCTTCTTCCGGTCATGTTTATGCACATAATAGGAAGATCAGGGAGGTGGGGACAGCAGAAACAGCAGATCAGTCATGTTAGCTAAAAATCTGCTACATCAGATATGATGTCTTCCATTTTGCATGTTAACCCTTTTTCTTGCAAAAGCCAAAAAACACATAAAGCTAGCATAGAAACTTTTTTTTTTTTGAGGACTTTTCTTAAAATTTTGTCTTTTCCATCAGGCTTTTCTGATGCAATTCTTCAAAATGCACATTAGAAAAATGGATTGAAATGCACCTACTGACCGGGAGCAGTTAAATTATTAGTTATTACCTTTGATTGAGAAAGTTATATTTCTCCTATTCAGATTGGCCCAGATCCAATCCAATTACTTTTATTTCTTTATTCTTGGTTAAACAACTATTAAATCTACTAAACTTTTTTATTTGAAATGTAAAGCAATGATATTGTTCTCCCTAATCCCTGTTTGGTAATGAGAAGTACCTTCAAACAAATCCTCTAAGAGGGGTGCTGCCATGTAGTACCACATGAGTAATGTTCCCTGACAGAAGGCTTAATGAGGAGTTGCTTTTATCCATCTGTTGTTTCTGCTCTCCTGGGTGTGAATGAGATGTTAAAATGAGTAGATAGGAAGGCTCTGATTTATCTGAAGCTCAGCCTCTCTGGATGTATCAAAAGCAGATCACGCTGCCTGCTTTCAAAAGTGCAGAAGTAATATCGAAACAATCTGTTTTCCCTTCATCTGCAGGTCCATGGGCAGTCTGCAGCAGGCACTGGTGTGCTTTGAGAAGCGGTTGGTGGTAGCTCATGAGCTCGGCGGTGAAGGAGGGGGTAAAGCTCAGGCTTATGGGGAGCTGGGCACCATACACAGCCAGCTGGGTAACTACGAGCAGGCTCTCTCCTGTCTGGAGCATCAGCTGAGCATCGCTCGCTCAGCAGGGGTAAGGTCCCCCTCAGTGGAAGGCTGCCAGTTTGTCATCCTTGCAGGAAATAAGATTTATAAAATGTATATTGTAGATAGTAAATGCAATAATCCCTGTATTATCTGGCAGGATAAATCCCTGGAGGCAGAGGCAAGCGATGCCCTGGGAGGCGTTTATCAGCTGATGGCAGACAACGAAACTGCTCTGCAGGTTTGTGCTGTTTTTTTTATTTTTCTTTAAACTCAGCACAAAAAGTAAAAAAAAAGGTTAGGATTTGGAAGATAGCTGAGCTGACATAGAATCCTCAGTTAGTGATTAAAGTGCTGTCCTGCTGCAGTGGCACCAGAGGGCGCTGAGCATCGCTGAGCAGACGGGCTGCGTGAGGAGCCAGGGCCGAGCCTATGGAAACCTGGGTCTGACCTACGAGGCTCTGGGAAACTACGAGCGAGCCGTGGTGTTTCAGGAACAGCATCTCAGCGTGGCGGCGCAGACCAACGATCTGATGGCCAAAACTCTGGCCTACGGAAGCCTGGGGAGGACACATCATGCCCTGCAGAACTACGCCCAGGCTGTGATGTACCTGCAGGAAGGTGATGCATGAGACATTTTGACACACTTGCTCTACCTTTAAATATACTGGAGCCCAATGTGAAACACTGGCACCAATTCATCACAGACTTCTGTGTTAGTTTTTTTACTGGGACTTCATTCACTAACACAGACAGAAGCAAGGCTGCCATACACTGGTGCCACCGGACCCTCTGACCATCAGTAGACAATGCAGGTTAAGTTTCTTGCCCAAGGACACAATGACACTGAAAGCCAGGGCCGGGGTTTAAACCCTCAGCCCTTTGATTTTCAGGGCAAGCTCCTACACTGGACACCACTGCCCTACACATTAGTCTGTGGTGTTTACTTTTGACACTAGTGTTAGATGAATTGAGACTATTGAGAGCGTTGTTCCAACTTTTCCAGTCTTATTAAAATTCAATCTAATTTGGATCATTATAGACACTTTATAAATGTTTCATTTTGTTAGCCTCCCTATGATTTCAACTAACACTTTTAAATTTGCCCTGTACATACGAAGCACCAGGACAGATTACTACAGTAAAGCTATGTTAAAGTAGAGTTATTATTACTTGAGTAGTACTTTTGGCTACCATCCCTATGTTGAGGAAGGATGTTCCAAACTGATATTTATATTGGAAATCGATCCAGGGTAGGTACCAGATCTGCTCGGGTTCTGCTTCATGCCAGTGACGTTACGCTACATGATTGGCTGAACGTTGCCACATGATGTAAAACATTATGGTTGCCCAGACAACGATAATCACATCATGCCGCATCCATGTGCAGAGTTGGGAGCATCTGTAGCGTTGGCGTGTCTAATGACCTGATCAATAACAAAACTGGGAAAAATCTTTTAAAAGTGAACAAAGTAACTGTTAGACCATGATATAAAGGGGGAGAGCTGGGTAGCGCTGTGGCTAGCTGTGCTCAGTAGCTAACAGGTTAGCCTCTTTTAGCTCGGTCAGTTAGCCGTGTTAATCTACACTACTTTTAAATTTGTGTCAGCTGAGACTTGTTTCGTTACCTTGTTAAATGGCAGAGCTCAGTCTGTCTTAGAAGGCAGTACTTTCCTTCAAGACTGACAATGATTGTTTTATAGTTTCGGCTACTTTAGATCGCCAATGAAATGCAAAATAATAGCAAATAAAGGTAATAATTTGTTGAGATTTGATCCTTAAGAAACAGTTGCAATACAGTTTGTCTGAGTGGAGTTGCCATATTGTTAGGATTTGTCTGTGGGTTGAGGACCCAAAAGCAGAGGAAGGCAGGCAGAGTTGAATTTATGGTTGATTTAATGAAGAATAACTGAAAAAACAAAGTCCAAACAAACAGGCAACCAAGAATCCAAAATCCAAAAATGAAAACAAAGCCAAAAAAGAAAACAAGAAACCAGGAGTCCTAAATTCAAAATTCAAAACATGAAAAAATAAGTAGAAAACAAACCAGGAAATCATGGAGACATCAGGGAATCAAAACTCAAGGAGGAAGGCTCAGAGAGACGAAATTGGAGCATGTAAGACGAAGTTAGACGAGGACCCAGCAAAGAGGAAGTGAACAGAGAGAGAGCTTTTAAAGGAGACAGAGACAAAGCGGGGGGTAATGAGCAGATAGGAAACAGGTGAGGACAGAGGCAGAAACAAAAGAGGAGCTAGGAAAAAAGGAGAACACAAGAGGGCAGCAGAGGGCAACAAATGAAAAACCTGGAAGACTGGAAATAACTAGAAAATACAACAAAATAATAATTAAACCACTAAGACTATAAAATATGAAGAAAAGTAAAACTAAACACTCAAAAGAAAACATAACAGAACCAAGACAGAAACAGTAACTAGGAAAAACCAAAGAACACAACAAACTAAGAATTAAACCATAAAAACTAAGAAACAAGGAGAAAAGCAAAACTGGGTACTCAGAAGAAAAACATCACAGAGAACAGAAACCTAACACATATGATGATGTCATGAGAAGGGGCAGGGCCCCGAGCAGATTTGGTACCTACAGCAGAGTTTGAAAAAACAAAAAACAAAAATGTTAATGTTAATGTGCTAATGTTGATCTTATTGTTTTTGGCCTTTGATATTATGTTAGATTACAGAGCTTTCTCAAAACAGGCACATCATTGTGTGCTATGATCACTGCTCCCTTAAATGATGCAGCCCAAAGTCAGTCTAAATGAGCCTTTTCTTCATCATTCCTCACCTCTGTCTTATTACTCTCAGAACCCTTGGCTTTTAATTGATCATTACCTCCACAAGCATCACAGGATTGTGCTCAGAGAAGGCACTGAGGAAACATTCTGAAATGTGCATCCAATTAACTCCCAAGAAAAACAGGAGCACGGAGGATTGCATGCCTGCAGAGGGACGAACACAAGGAGGCAGGGGTGTGGGTTTTTGTTTGCTGTTTTTTTATATCTGATGAGATTCGGCTCTAATGAGAACTAAACAGAACCTGTCATGGCGGCCTGCTCCATGCCAAGCAGCGGGATCAAACATGTCTGGGACAAACTGAAGACAAGAGAATACGTGAGCTTTGAATTTGAATGAGCTGATCAAAAAGCAAGAAAAAGAACAGCGGGAGAAAATGAAGGACGCATCCGAGCGTCACAGGCTCATCAGTCGAGCTCGCTTCAGTACTGCAACAGTTGTCACGAGAGGTGCAGTCTTAGATGAGCGTCCTCGAACTGCGGCTGATCTCCTCGATGTGCTTCTCCATCAGGTCTGCGGCTGGCTGAGCAGTTGGGTCGGAGGGAAGATGAAGCAAAGCTTCGTTATCGCCTCGGTCTGTCTCTGTGGGCCGGCGGTAACTTGAAGGAAGCCCAACACCAGGTGTGTTACTGAAGTCAAAAGGTCATGATATTTATCTAGTTATACCATAAGAACCCTGTGGGTACATGTAACTATATAAACCACCCACTCTCTAATATTCACATATCCTGTTTTAGATGTAAGGTTACCTAAAGTATTTGATGAGGTTAATGGAGGGAAACCACTTTAAACCCACTGCCTCCAGGTGTGACATCATAAGAAAATAACAATGAGGCGGAATATCAGAGAGATGATCAGAAAGCCTAAGCCCAAAATACCAGCTGCTTGGTCCTCACATTTTCTAAATCTCAAATCTGCTAAATCCCATCATGTTCTGTTAAAACGTGGTGATGGGGAAATTTCCAGAATGGTGCTTAAAGGTAGCCTGACGTAGTCCAACTCAATTCTAGTCAGAATATGAGTCTGATACTGCTCCATAGAGCTGTGATTATGGGGCGTGTTTCGAACGAACCAGGAAAAAAAATGCCTCTGCACTCAATTGGATAGACCTACAACCAATAAGAGCAACGGAGTGCGTGACGTATGTTAATCGAGGCATAGTTGTTGTCCACAAAAATCAAAGCGTGCAGTTTCACGCCTATAATAAGAAGATGAGACTTGATCGCGTTTCTCTGTTCCTCTTTTAAAATTAATTTGCTGTCGATATCTTCTAGAACAGACCTAATAGCAGAATCTACTCACCTAAACTCTCCAGCGGCAGCCATTATTGTTGTCACCCAAGCGCGCATTGGTCACGTGGTTGATTACATTACTGTTGGTCATCTGTCCATCATCGTATAAAGCCCGCCCTGACAATTTGATTGGATCACCTGACAGTGGGCGATAATACTCGCGCTACTATGGAGCAGAGCCAGACCGAACTTCCCGACCTCAAACTTTGTGGGCGGGACTAAGTTCGGGATGGCACCCAGGCTAGCTTAAAGGTGCATAGTGATGTTATATGACTATACCAATGAGACCATAAACTGTTTGATTATGATAAAGTAAGGTTAGAAGCATAAAGCAGCCATCCTGATTGTCTTCAGACCAGGGGTTACCAACATGGTGCCCTCAGGGGCCTCATTGGGGGCCCACAGAATCTTCTGAAAACAGCACAACTAACCAGTGAAAATTGAAAATTTTATTTTATTCTGTTGCTCTTCTTTTTTAATAATTTATGGAGCATTTCATCATTTTAATCATACAGCGTTTTTAAGCATTAATAGAGAAAAATTATATCATAACGAAAATTAGTAGTTAAAAGAAACAATAAAAATATGATCATTATGTATGAAGGTGAATGCAGGTCCTTCCTTCCTTCCTTCCTTCCTTCCTTCCTTGCTTCCTTCCTTCCTTCCTTCCTTCCTTCCTTCCTTCCTTCCTTCCTTCCTTCCTTACTTACTTACTTATTTACTTAATTAAGGTGAGTTAAGGTGAACGCTGACCCTTCTAGTTCATAGGTCAGTATCGGTAGCCCTTCCTATGACTCAGTACCCATGAAGCAGCCCTCGGCCTTAAAAAGGTTGGTGACCCCTGCTTTAGACAGTCATTTTTTAGCCTAAATTGAATTCCTGCAGCCTTGTGATGGACTGGCACCCTGTCCAGCACCCCTCGCGACCCCACTTGGGAGTAAGCGTGTTAGAAAATGGATGGATGGACGAATTCCTGCACCAGGAACAATGAGCTCATAAACACATGTGGCGCCATCTGCTGGTAGAATCAAAGAACTATCAGAAAGCCAGATGGAGGCTGGTTCTCAAAAAACATTCTATTAGCCTAAAGGTGCTTTGTTAATGTTACCCAGCCACAACTAGCAAGAAAACAGAACTGTTTCAAGAGGCTGGATCTCCTGAAAAGTAGCCAATCACAGGCAGTGTACTTTCTCTGGCTCGTTCCAACCTCAAAGTGAGAAAAAGTTGAGATGGGTGCACAGAAACAGATCTACATGTTATCATGGGAAAATCTACAGACCTATAAAAGTGAGGGAGAGAGTGATTTACATACGTTTGTTAGAAATAAAGCTGCTTGTATCAGTATTTATTAAAAGTGTGCACTTTTGGCAGATTTCTGACGCCATATAACCAGAGGTGGGCAGTAACTATTTACATTTACTCAGTAACTTTTACTTTAGTATTTCAGTAGTTTTGCTGTACTTCTCATCTTACTGGAGTAATTTCCATTTAATGTCCATGTCCTACTTGAGTAAAATTTCTTGCTATTATGTAACGAGTTATTCAGCAATGAGCTAAATATAAAATAAACACTAGATGTTGTAAGAGGAAGTTCTTTACCCTCTCCTAACATATATATGTTTCTTACTATAAGGATTGGTTTTATAGGCTTTCTGTTGCAAAAATTTTTTTGTTTTTTATCTGCATTTTTTGTTTTTTGTTATCTATTTTAGTCTTTAAAAAGCCAGTCTAAGTAACAGCATTATTTCTAAACCCATGATCAAACTCTTACTCTGTACACCAGTGTACTTTCTAACTGATACTTTTTTTTACTTTAGCCTGAGTAATGTCCTGATTAACACTTTAATTTGTCATTAAAATAATGTTTAAGCATTGCTACTCTTATTTGAGTAGATTTTTTGGGCTATTTTGCCCACCTCTGTTGGGCTCTAATTTCTCAACAGGTCTTAATTTAGCAAAAGATTAGATAATAAAAATTATAATCTAAAATAGTCCAGCTCTTATGACTTCATTTTAATGCTGATTTGAAAAGAGAACTATCCTGTCAGATTTAAGGGTCTCTGCAAATAGCAGAACCAGGCTGTGTGCTGGCAGCTCCACCCAGTGGTGTGGATTGTAACTGCAGGTTCAATGTGGTTTTAACATCTGAAATCAGTAACTTCTGCTTGTAGCATTTTTTTAGTTTGTATAATTTAAAAGGAAAGGGTTTAAATTCAAAAGCGGGAATTTTTGAACATAACGTTGTAGGTGTTTTTTTTCATTGTGTGATTGTTTGCTGCCTTTCAGCTCTACAGAGCGTCTGCACTGTTCGAGACAATCCGTCATGAGACTCAACAAAATCTGGATTACAAGCTCTCCCTGTTTGATCTGCAAACCAGCTCATACCAGGCTCTCCAGAGAGTCCTTGTCAGCCTAGGTGAATTTGTTTCATAATTCTTGTTTGTTTTCTTTTGTAGCTGTGAGCTTTAACTTGTCACAAAGTATGTACTCCAGCTCGCCCCCTGATTGTTTGAGTCATCCTCATGTTCCGGCGGTTCCTTCCAGGGCGACATGACGAGGCCCTGGCCATAGCAGAGCGAGGGCGGACGCGTGCGTTTGCTGATCTCCTGGTGGAGCGCCAGAGAGGAAGCAAGCAAGCAGCGAGCGCTGACCCTTACATCCCGGTCACTGTGGAGCACATCCTGGAGACGGTCAATGGTCAAAAGGCGTTGATCCTCTACTACTCCTTGGCAGGAGGCTTTCTGTACAGCTGGCTGATTTCTCCAGGCACAGGTGTGTAACTTTTGCTTACACAAATATGGTTATTTTTAGCACATATCTTGATTTCTATGTGTGCTGAATCAAAATCAATCAACTTCTGTAAGATTCTATTATTTGATTGGCCGGGATGACAATCCTACAAATTGCATAACTGATTTTTAAGTCGTAGGGAAATCATATTTTAAATGTCAAATCATTCTGGCTTAAACATGTATATAAATGTATTCTTTATCAGACCATAGTGTCCAAAAATTAAAAAAAATTATATATGAAAAAAAAAAAATCTTTTCTTAAAATCAGTTTTTTTTTTTCGTTATCTTCTGCAGGCCAGTTAGTTATTCGTCAGCCTGAACACCTAAATTCGGCCAATCATATATCAGCGGTCATCTGTCAATCACATTTTTTGGTCATATCATCTCTTTTCATATGTCTTAGACTTAGACAGACTTAGCCTCTTTATTTGTCATTTTGTATGCACAGAGTGCATACAGAACGAAATTTGTTACATACAGCTTATGAACATTGCATTGATATTTCAAATGTCACGAGTTATACAAAAAGTGCAGCAGTGGTCAAAGTGTGAACAGTGCAGAGGATAAGAGACAATGTGCAAGTTGCAGTGGTTCAGTGCAAATAGGCATTTGTGCAAAACATGCGTTATTGAGAATAGAAATGAGATGAACAATTAAAGGGCTAAAAGTTAAATGTTCAGCAGCATTGATGCCCGATAATGTGCAATAGGTGCAGAGTTTGGTTTGTGGATCAAAGGTTCAACAGTCATCAAAGGTTCAACAGTCGCAGCTAATAAACGCAACGGTTGAAATAAGAGATAAAAATAATTTAATTTCGCATTGAGTTCCGTCCCAGTGTTCACAGGGATGGACGTCTGTGTCTTCAGCAGGCATAGAGCTAACAGAACTGGCAGCGTTGCGAGGCAAGGGCTCAAACATGTACGGCTGTAAGCCTTCTACACCAAACCAAGCTTCTGCCGCCCTGGCGTCCTCTTCCACAACATCTTCATCCCCGCTTTCCTCCTCTATAAATAAAAAATGGATGACAGAAGAGAGTCATCCAAGACCTCCGACACCAAACTCTCCTTCTCTTGCATGTTTCCTCTGTCCATAGCGTTACTTGACAGTGTCGTTTCTAAGTCACCAATTTAGTGCTACTTGGTCCCAATGGAATTTCCCATTGGGGACCTACTAGCACTAAGTTGCTAACTGGTTAGCAACATGCTTCAGACAAACCGACCACAATTAAACTTGCTTGCGAACCTTCTGCCACAAGAATCCCGCCCTCCCGATAAACAATCAATCAAATTCACTTTATTCACTCGTGTAAAGTGGTGCACCACTCGGGAGAATTTGGAAATGCAAAGGTTGGAACGGCCGCTTCCATACGACTTCAAAGCATACAATCATAGTTCTTTTCTCAAAAATAAACAAACATTTTTGTTATTGAGGATCCCGATCAATCCTTTTCAATAAAAAAACACCCTGAAGGGTAAAATCTGTTAAGCCTTGAGCCTCATCCATTCTTTATTGCTGTATAAAGATAATTGCCCCAGCTCTGTTTTTTAAATCCAACGCAGGAAGTCGAGTGAACACAAAGTACTCAAATTTCTGTCTCTTTCCTCACACCATCCAGGCATCGTGAAGTTTAACGAGGTGTACCTGGGTGAGGGAGGGCCAGACACTTCTGAGTTCCAGGACGGTGCAAGGAGTCCTCATGGAGGAGGTTCTGTGTCTTTGGATCAGTACATCTGCAGCGCTAGAGAGGCACTGGGAGTGGACAGCCATCACAGCAGGTAGACATTAACACAAAGAAAAACAAGTCTTCTAGTTCAATAAAATGGTCACGATTTACAATGTGTTTAAATGCTTTGAGGATGTGACTCTCTGCCCTGGGCGGCATGACCTCTGGGATGCCACAAGGAACAAAAAAATGTGTACAGTGAAAATATATGTATTTTTTATTTTTTTTAGTTCTAAGTAAGTAAAGTTTTAGCATATTTTAGGATAAAACAAAGTGTTTCAACCATCAAAGGATTCTAAAACTACTAGATTGAAGTTTTCAGCTGGACTTTAGAGAAAACTCACCAGATCATACAGTCAAATTGATTCAAAGTTTTCTATCTAAGGAAAACCAGTTGATTGCATTGACTCAAATGCAAACCCTCACACTAAGCATGCTTGTAGCGACAGTGGAGAGGAAAAATTCCCTTTTAACAGGAAGAAATCTCCAGAAGAACCAGGCTCAGTGTGAGCGGCCATCTGCCGAGGCCGACTGGGGTTCAAGGAGACAGAAGCAAAGATACAAAAAGCAGCTGTAAAAGGCGGCCCTGTCGCGGTCAGAGAAACAGGACTGCA